ACAAGGCTTCCAATTTCTCACACCCTCACTAATACTTGTTGTCTTGTTATCTTCTTTCTTTTTTTAATGATAGGATAACCATCCCAACAGGTGTGAGCGATTTCTCGTTGTGGTTTTGATTTGCATTTCTCTGATGATGAGTGATGTTGAGTATGTTTTCAGGCTGGTTGGCCACCTGTGTGTCTTCTTTGGAGAACTATCTATTCAGGTCATTAACTCATTTTCAATGGGCTAATAACCCAACTAATAATTGGGCTATTAGTTTGTTTTTGTTTTTGTTCTTACAATTAAATTGTAGGTGTTCTCTATATATTCTGGAGATTAGCCTCTTATCAGTTGGAAAGTGTGCAATATTTTCTCCCATTTTGTGGGTTGTGTTTCACTCTGATGTTTCCTTTGCTGTGTAGAAGCTTTTTAGTTTGATGGAGTCCCACTTGTTTATTTTCAGGATCTCGAAGAGATGTCCGTACTTCTGTGTTCACTGCAGTATTGTTCACAATAGCCAAGATGTGGAAATAACCTGAATGTCCACCGATGGATGAATGGATAAACAAAATGTGATATGTGTGCATACAATGGAATACTATTCAGCCTTTAAAAAGAAGGAAATTGTGCAATTGGTGACATTTATGAAACTTGAGGACATTATGCTAAGTGAAATAAGCAAGTCATAGAAAAATACTGCGTGATGTCACTTACATGAGGTATCTAAAATAGTCAAATTCATAGAGTCAAAGAGTGGAATGGTGGTTTCAGAGGTGGAGGAATCACTAATCAATGGCATAAAGTTTCTGTTAAGCAAATAAAGAATCTCCAGAGGTCTGCTGTACAACATTGTACAATATGTTATATACTTAAAAGTTTGTTAAAACTCTCATGCTAAGTGTTCTTACCACAATTAACAAGCAAGCAAGCAAGCAAACAAAAAATCCAAACAAACAAAACCTCAGGAGAAGCTAGGCTCAGCCCTTTGACCAAGACAAAGGCCTCTGGGAGAACAGTCCCGCTTCGAGTGCCTGCACTGGCGGGCCTGGAGTTAGCATGTGCCCCAGCCTGCAGGATCCAGCCTCAAACCTCAGGACCAAGGGACAGACAGAGAGGTCCTGCCAGCCCTAGGTGTCCCTCCAGATGACAAAACTCTCTGGCAGGGGGTAGATCCCACCAGAAAGAAGAGAGTCGCCAGAGTCATCTGCTCCCGAATAAAATCCCCAGGACCCTTTCTGTTTCCTTGCAATTGCTCTTCCGTTTCACAGGCTCGCTGCCCTGGATTGGCCTGAGCCCTCTGCTACTCTGGCTGCCTTGCTTCCTCCTTTAAGTACACACTTCTGCAAAAAGGATCAGGCTGATGGGTGGTGCAGGGGCAAAAATGTACCAAGAAGGGAGCGCCTGGGTGGCTCAGTCGGTTAAGCGTCCAGTGTCAGCTCAGGTCATGATCTTACGGCTCATGGGTTCAAGCCCCACGTCAGTCTCTGAGCTGACAGCCTGGAGCCTGCTTTGGATTCTGTGTCTCCCTCTCTCTCCCTTCCCCCATTGTTCTCTCTTTCTCTCTCTCTCTCTCTCAAAAATAAATAAACATTAAAAAAAATTTTTTTTAATGCCCCAAGAAGAAAGACGCTTCTTCAGGGTCACTGCAGGGATGGAGAGTCAAAACACACAACCTGTCTCCTTGTCTGTTTGGCCCCGACACAGCCATGGCAGCATGGACCAGCAGGACCCCGAAACCGCACAAGGGAGACTCAGGTGTGCAGGGAGCATTTATAAAGTCAAACAGATAATGTATTCATGGAAGGAGGGACTAAACTCCAAATGAGTTTGTGCAGATATGTTTGCCTTGTAACTGAGCTATAATCTTCTGTTCCCCTCCCGGTCACTGCTCAGCCCTTTGTGTCCGACCCAGACAACTCTGCCTTCTGCAAATAGACCCATCTCCCATCAAGATGTGCCCTGCAGTCCCCCTCAAAGCTTTCTCACTCCCTTCTTGCTCCCCTTGCCTAGGCCCACCTGGGGAGGTGCCGGTTTCACCCAGCCCATGCCTGGCTCTCCCACTCCATTCCTAACCCTGTTTTTTCAGAGGCTGCAGCGAACCAGTTCAAGCCAGCCTGTCCCTGTGTGGGGCAGAGGCTCCAGGGGATGGGTAGGTTACGGGGAAATGGTATTCAGCAGTCAGATATGGCCATGAGAATGGCAACCTGAACTGTATGGGCCACTTTGGCCATTTCGTCAAGCAGTCTGTCTACTCTTGGGGTTGCAGACTCTACAGGGTAGACTTTATCCTCCCTGGGAGGGTCCATGTTGTCTCAATTCTTCTCATCCTCTTGTGAAACTAAGGAAATTTGAGGGGCCTCTGAGAGATTCCCCCCGGATCTAGGACAGGTCATCATGATGCTAGCCAGCCCCGGGACCCTCCAACCTTGGACCTCGTCCTCTGACCCGGAAATGAACTAGACCCGGGGCAGTCTGTATTTCTGCCAGTTTCGGCCACTCTAGTTTGGATTATATTTTCATCATGTCCCACTACCCCCTCCATCTCTGACTGTAGGCTCCAGCTGAGTTAGTGCCTGGCCATCCTAGACTATTAGCAGGGTATGGCCTTGAGCCAAGGTGAACCCTGACCCTGCCACTTTAGTCTCTAGCTCAAGGTTGACTTTATTAAAGTACAAAAGTCACACTCTTTGAGGAGAAAGGGACTTAAAAAAAAAAAAAAAAAGGAGCAGCTAATATTTACTGAGCCCTTACTGTGTTCTAAGCACTTTACAGGAATGAATGAATGTAGTCCTCCCAAGAAGTCCATAAGCTAGTCTATCACTTCATTTTATGGTTGGAGAAACTGGGGCCAGCGAGGTTAAGTGATTTGCACAAGGCCACACAGCTAGTAAGCTGGGAAGTCAGTATTTGGCACTAGTCTTTGCAAGCCTATAGCTATTGGGAAAATACAAGCACTAGGGACTTTATTTGAGGGTGCCCTCTCAACCAGCACAGGAATGTGGAAAGGAGCAGAAACGCCTTAGTCATCATGTAATTATTATTGATCAACAGTGTATTACATAAATGGAGAGGAACAAAGGAGTGGATGGAACTTTATTCATCAAATGTATATCCCAGGCACTTTACAATCAAGTTAGGAAACACTTCTGTTTTCTTAACGGATGGCTCCAAAATTCATTTTAGAAAGGAACGGTGTTTGTTGGGAAAACACCTTAGATCGGTTAGAAGGTGAAATCCCCAGGCCTGGGTTTCAGCTATGGACGAGGCTCCTGAGAGGGGGTGGAAGCTCTGTGAGTGAGTTGAGGACAGGGACTCGTCTGGTGCTCTCCAGAGGGAGGGGTGGGGAGAGAAGCGGGGGGGGGGGGGGGGGGGGGGGGGGGTGGGGGGAGGGGCGAGGAAAAAGAGGTGTGGGGAGGAAGTGAGTGAGTCTGGGGCATTGGTGGGATAGGCCAGGACAGGAATCCCCCATGTCTGGGTGGTCAGGACTTTAGAACAATAGAAATATCTAATAAGGGTTTTAAGCAGATCGTTCGTTGTCTTCTTGTGCGTATGTGAACCCTTCCTGAGGCTGCTCCCTGCTCCCTCAGTTCTTTAGAAAAGTCTACTCGGGAATGTTTTGGTGGCGTGAGTGCGGTGTTTTGGTGGAAATGAGTAAAAAAGCTGCGGTTGGTGTCTGGGCGGACACAATGCTGAGCAGCAGGAGGAGGAGGAGGAGGACACCACAAGAACATCGATCTCCCAGGGATTTGCTGGAATCTGGAACAAGGCTTAGGACTTAATAGGCTATGGACTTGGGGAGTTAGGCCATTGATCCAGATCTTGAGGACCAGGGACACCCTTGAGGTGTTATTCTCTGTTGTTAATATGTCAGGGGCTGAGTTCAGTCTTTCCCCCAGACATTGCAAATGGGGAAAATCAGATGCCCTCACGGACACAAAAATGTAATGGAACCAAGG